GGAGGGATACGGAGCTATTATTTTGCAAAAGAAGAAGTTAAGTTTCTAATATCACATTCTAATTGTTTTTTACTTACGAGGGAGATATTAGTTGCATAATTGAGGTTGAAGCTTGTAAAAATATCGCTCATCTTCTTACCAGGAAATGGAATCTGTGTTTGGTGAACCTCCTCCATCTAGCCTTTCGGGTTCCATTGACAATCAAAGTATGGCACAAGACGTGAAGCTTAGTACTGAAGAAATGGATGGTAAAGAATCTTTCACTGGATTGACACATATTGGCAGCAAAGGTGAAGCTCAAATGGTGGATGTATCTCATAAAGATATTAGCAAGAGAGTGGCCATTGCACATGGCAAGGTTATTTTAGGACGTGAGGTGTTTGATTTGGTTTCAGCTAATCAAATGGGAAAAGGAGATGTCCTCAGTGTAGCAAAGTTAGCTGGAATTTGTGGAGCGAAGCAAACAAGTAATCTCATCCCACTATGTCATAACATCAACTTGATGCATGTCCGTGTAGACTTGGCTTTGAACCCTCATGATTTTAGTGTTGAAATAAAAGGAGAAGCTGCTTCAGATGGAAAAACTGGTGTGGAGATGGAAGCATTGACAGCAGTAACCGTTGCTGGCCTAACAGTGTATGACATGTGCAAGGCCGCTTCAAAATATATCCAGATTACAGATATCAGGCTTGAACATAAAACTGGAGGCAAAAGTGGGGACTGGTCCAGGGACAAATGATCACTACATAAGGAAATGAGAAGACAAGTGCATTAAGGGCATGAAAGTCAGGTGCTAGTTGAGACGATGCACGCCACTTTCATTTAGTGTTCGTTTTCTATAGGAAGTGGTATCGCTATATTATGATATAAGTAGATGGCTAGTTAAGACATGTCGATACAAGTCATTATTCATCTGATGTTGATTTTAACCAGGATGTGTTAAATATTTGTTTGAGAATGTTTTCCTCACACTCTTATCTGTTAACTACTGTACTAATTATTTTGTTGTAGTTAATTAGATTTAGTTACAGGAGCATAAAATAACTTCACACAGCCAAACTTCTTCGAGTTTCAGAGCAAGCCTTACATGAAATTTACCCCCTGAATACACTGGTAAATATTGTAAGAGCTTGACATTTAGCTAATTTTGTTAAACATCTTATGATTTTATGCTAACTTCTATCAGTGCATTGATGTTGCTTTATGTCCCTTTCTTCCATCTTTTGTTTTGACAACTTTTGGTCCAGGGGAGACATTTTTTTAAAATTTCAATAATAACAACTATGCCTTAGTTTCAAACAAGTTAAGGGTCGACTATATGAATCCTCGCCGCTTCATATAAGTTCAATTTCATGTCACATTTTTGAAATATCAAACTTACCTTATATAGTTACACTGAGATTTAAAGGTTTTAGGTATTGATCTTTGTTGTATCATTTTCTTTCATATATGCTCCCTACATTTTGTCTTAGCCAGATATAGAATTATTATCTACTCTTCACCTTAACTATAATTCTTTACATTAATTGTTGGTAGATACTACTAATTAAAGAAAATTCATGTTTAAGACTGGTTAAAGGGCAGTTCAGGATGCTGACAACATCAACCTTAGGGACTAAAACAGAAACTGCTTGTTTTCTAATTCTTTTTGTCATTATTTTCTAATTTGATGAATAAGTCCCCGTCTATTTATTTCAAGAATAGAATTTACTCTTGTTTCTCTTTTACGTTTTAACATTCTATAAACAAGTCAATCTTGCTTTTCAGATAGCAAAGAGAGTTAGTGACAGAATTTAAATTAAAAAGTATCCCTTAGAAAAGGCGAAATATATAAATGGCCCCTCCAAGTTGTCCACAACGGTCATTTGAACACCTCAACAGACCTATTTATCAAGTAGACACCTCAAGCTATGTTTTAATGTGTCTCTTAAACCCTTCAAAGTGACATGGCAAAATGTGTGTACTACACTCGCCTTGCAGCAAGTGAAGCCTTTAAAAATTGTGTTTATTTCTTTTCTTTTTTTAATTTAACTGGTGGAGCCCACTTATGCTCCCCTTCTTCTCCAAAATTTTCTTCCACTATCTTCTCCACCTTAACCCACTAATCTCAACGCCACACTTCACCATTAAAAGGAAGTCCCAGCATAATTAAAGTTAGAAAATCATCATAATTCTGTTCGGCAAAATCCTTAGAAAATTCATCCCGTTACCCCTTGGCCATCAGTAAGCACATCATTTGCAGCTTTAAAATCCTTTCTCCACCCTAAATAATCCACAAAGAAAGACACAACTTCATCATCAAGTTTGAAACTTTCTTTGGATTTAACCCATTTGAAAAACCCTAGAACAGTTCTGCCAGCATCTGGGGAAAGATTGAGTGTGGTAAGGATCAGGGAAGGCGTTAAAGTTTGGTGGGAGAAAGAAAGATGGAGTCTTTCCGGAATGGAGAGAGATTCGGCGTCCAGTTGTTTGACAAGCTCAGACGATAAAGACTGAGCAATTGTTTCTTCTTGATCCTTTACAGGATCGGATGAAAAGGGTTTAAAACTGGTGCAATATAGTGAAAACGGAAATGGGTCATGGGTCAGTGATGAAGTGAAAAGGTGGGTTTTGGAAAGGGAGAATTGGGAACAGGGAAGGTGGTGGGATTGATTAGTCGCCGACAAAGAAATACAGCGGCGAAGCAGTGTTCGAAGGTGGAGGCGTGGGCAGAAGTTGGGTTTTGGGTTTTCCTTTTGTTTTTTTAGTTTATTGAATTTCTTTTTAAATTATTGTTTATCATTTTAATTCAGCATTACACGTGTTATTATTTTATTGGTTCATTTACCACGTAACCAGCGATTGCATTTCACGCATGTGATTTGTTGAACGAAGGTGTCCAAATGATACACATATATATTCGGTAAAGTGTCTAGTTGGATATTTGGGTAGTTGAGATGTTCAAGTGACCGTTGTAGACAACTTAAAGGGACCCTTTATGTATTTCGCCCTTAGAAAATACGACAAGTGAAAGGGTGTCTTTTCTTTTTGCTTTTTACTTTTTTAAGAGCCCTATTTGCATTTAATATAGCCATATGGAAAACATATGGAGATGGTTCAGGATGCATTGGAGAAGGTCAAGGTGATTCAGGACAGACTCCGTACAGCCCAGTCTAGACAGAAGAGTTACGCGGACAGGAAGGTTCGTGATGTTTCATATATGGTTGGTGAGCGGGTTCTACTTCGGGTCTCGCCTATGAAGGGCGTCATGAGGTTTAGAAAGAAAGGGAAGCTGAGTCCGAGGTTTACTGGCCCTTTTGAGATCTTGAGGCGAGTTGGGGAGGTTGCCTATGAGCTTGCCCTACCTCCCAGCTTGGCCGGAGTTCATCCGGTATTTCATGTTTCGATGCTCCGGAGGTATCACGGTGATCCGTCGCACGTGTTAGATTTCAGTTCAGTCCAGTTGGACAAGGATCTATCCTATGTTGAGGAGCCAGTGGCTATTTTGGACAGGCAGATCAGAAAGTTGAGGTCAAAGAACATAGCTTCAGTAAAGGTTCAGTGGCAGGGTCAGCCGGCCGTTGAGGCGACTTGGGAGACCGAGCAGGATATGCGCAGCCAGTACCCTCATCTTTTCACTACTTCAGGTATGTTCTCTATGCTCGTTCGAGGACGAACGAATGTTTAAGTGTAGGAGGATATAACGACCCGGCCGGTCGTTTTTGGAAATTACGCCCCGATCCCCCATTAACTATTTCCCCTAAGTTCATTTCTGCTATTTTGATTTGCCGGGACGTTCGGTGTTGAGTTTCGGAGAGTTTTGGGACATTTAGTCCCTAAACGAGAGCTTAAGTGTTAAAAAATGGTCCGTAGTCGGAACAGTGTGAAGACGACCTCGGAATGGAAATCCGATGGTTCCGTTAGCTCCGTTAGGTGATTTCGAGGTTGGGAGCGTGTTCGAAATGTATTTTGGAAGTCCGTAGCTCATTTAGGCTTGAAATGCCGGAGTTTGTATTTTTGAAGTTTCCGGTCCAATAGTGAGTTTTTGATCCGAGGGTCGGATTGGAATTCCGGAAGTTACAGTAGTTCCGTCATGTCATTTGGGATGTGTGTGCAAAATTTCAGGTCATTCGGACGAGGTTTGGTTAGGTTTTTGATCGAAAGCGTGTTTGGTTGGAATTTGAGGTTCTTAGACTTGAATCTTTGATTAATTCGGGTTTCCGGCGTTGTTTTAGGTATTTTAAGGATTGGTACAAGTTTGAATAAGGTATTAGGTGGTATTGGTGCTTTTGCTTGAGGTCCCGGGGGTCTCGGGATGATTTCGGGTGGTTGACGAAAAAATTTTGAAGTTGAATGAATTGCTGAAGGTTCTGTCATCTGGTATTTCCGCTTCTGCGGCTTGGGAAGCGCAGAAGCGGAGCTGCAGAAGGGGCTAGACCACCGCAGGAGCGAAATTCGAGTGCTTCTTCAGTTTCCGCAGGTGCGGAAGTTTAACCGCAGAAGCGGTTACGCACCTGCGAGATGGTAGTCGCAGATGCGGTCCTTGGAATTTTGTTTGAAACCGCAGAAGCGGTAATGAATCCGCATAAGCGGCAACCGCAGGTACGGTGAAGGGCCGCAGAAGCGGAAATCTTGACTTTAATGAAGAACCGCAGAAGCGGCTCGTGGTCCGCAGAAGCGGTCCCTTGTCCGCAGAAGCGGAAACCCCTGGACAGAAATAGAGATGTCGAGGGTTTGAGTTCATAAGTTGCAAAATCAATTGAGAGCTCGGTTTAAGGTGATTTTGAGTGGGATTTGAAGTGAAGATCACTGGGTAACGTTTCTTTGGTCCTTTCTTGTTATATTTTATCATTTTATAGTTAAATACACCATTGGAATTCGAATTTAGGATCAAAAATTGGAAGAAACTTCATAGACCTAATTATTGAGTTTTGAGTGGGCAATTGACCTCCGATTTGGGAGATTTTTATATGGTTAGACTCGTGAGAGTACGAGGGTTCTGAAAATGTGAAAATTATTCGATTCCGGGGCGTTGGCCTGAAGGGAATTTTGGTCATTTCACCTAATTTTACGCTGTAGCTTTGAATTTATTAGCAATACCAGGTGTTTGCGATGTTATTTACGATGTGTAATTGAATTGAATAGATTTGAGCCATTTGGAGTCGGATACTCGTGGCAAGAGCGTGGTTTCTAGTTGATACTGAGCCGGTTCGAGGTAAGTGGCTTGTCTAACCTTGTGTGGGGGACCTTTCCCCTTAGGATTTGTTATTTGTCGATTTGACTGCCTTGTACGCGAGGTGACAGGCGCGTACTTGAGCCAATTATTGAAAATCCGGTTTCCTTAAGATATTGAGATTGAGTTCCTTTCATATTTGCTTTATTCTACTTGCAATTATAACCTGTGCTAGATTCGGAAGCATGATTAGTTGATTTAACTTGTCTAATTGCTTAAGTTGCCTTGACTGTACTACGTGAAGCATGCTAGGCCAGTACTACCTGTTGCTTGTCTTTTGTACTTCGTTTCCGTGTACCTTCTGGTTGTGATTGCGCATTTACATTGGGACTACGGATGTGGGATTTCGGTAGCTCCCCCCCCCCTTGTTTGTTTACTTTGGGACTGCGGGTTCGATTCCCGATAGATCCCCCTGCACTTTTACTTTGGGACTGTGAGTTAGATTCCCGATAGATCCCCCTGCACTTTTACTTTGGGACTGCGGGTTAGATTCCCGATAGATCCCCCTGCACATTGATGGTTGGACTACGGGACGGTATCCCGGGAGATCCTTCGGATGTACACATATGATGGACTACGGGACGGTATCCCGGGAGATCCACTGGACAGTTGAGAAAAAAGGGCTACAGGACGGTATCCTGAGATACCCTCATTGTTATCATTGGTATTGAGCTGTGTTTACTCTGTGTTTATTCTGTACTCGTGTAGTTGTTATAGCCT